CAAAAATTTGCTTTCCATATGACCAGGCGACACGACGTCAGATGTTTGATCCATGGTTTCTACGAAATCATCTATGTTATTCGCGCACTTCTATCAGGACCATTTTGACGATAAATAGATGTTGGTGCTGAACTCTGAATCATCTCCAATGCTTTCATTTTGTGTGGCATTTAGACAAATAGAGTCCTGATGTTCGACTGATCTTTTGCCCATAGTCTAATATATTATAATTTGGCGTATTATACACTCTGACTAACACACATATTTCACCTTTGAAAGATCTATAATCATCCCGCCTTTGCGGATCCCAAGCCCCGTTGAGAAAGGAGGAAGGTTGGACACCGTGGCGAAGTCTCTTTAAAAGTTCGCCACCTGCTGCTCATGATATCGTTGTCATCGAAAATTATACCACTCTGTCGTTGCTCATGTTACCAAAGGACCCGCAGGTTGTTGGAGACTGAGGCAGACTGTGTCCGCGATCAGAACCTGCTTATCGCCATCTGCTAGCCATCAGCGTAACACCACAATAACGGCGGAAGAAGATCCATGGAACGATGATCAAGATACCAGTCATCAGCGGAGTCGCTGCCCGTTCTGAACGGAGGAGGCAGACAGCACGATACCGTTACAGCACGTCAGAAAAGGCTGTACGGAGGGTCACCACCAATGGGGACTTATACTCCGAAATTGGAATATATCCTTACTCAGAGGGAAAGAGCAAGAGTTTGTTGATGAGGCCGTCAAGTATTAACGCGATATTGATGGACCCTCGTCGACGAAGCGTCTCGAATTCTTAATATCTGCGGGTGGAAGCGCGCTCAGGTCTGTGTTCTTGTTCTCGTAGAACCCAACCTCTCAGATAGAATCAATCATTGAAAGCCTGTCAGCGGAAAGGCGGAAGGGTGATAATCCATAATCCTCCGACTGAAGCTGCGACAGGCTAAAGCGTTGACCCATGTACAGGTCTGTGCCCCCAATTTGCAGGGCGAGTACGATACCTTCCGTGAGGAAATTCAGATGTGCCCTGTCCGAAGTGCCGAATACAGAGTTCTTCATACTAATGGGCGATTTTAATGCGCACGTCGGAGTAGACGTTGAAAAGTGGAACAAGTGATTCGAAAAAAACAGCCCTAGCGACCTCAACAATGACAGCATGAAGTTGTTGCGGTTTTGTGCAAACAGCGGATTGTCCATTATGAACACATTCTTCGAGCATCGAAGAGTGCGTCAGCATACCTGGTACCGGGAAGCTTCTGCACAGAAGTCGATGATCGATTTGATAATTGTATTATCTGACCTAAGACGCTCTGTAATGGATGCTTGCGTTAAGAGAGACGCAGAGCGATCAACCGATCACCACCTTGTTGCTGGTACGCTGCGTTGTAACGATAGGCTTGTAAACAAAGAGCCTTCTACTCGCGTGCAGTATGTCGAGGCACGTAAGGGGGCAGCGAAATCAGTGGCGAAAGCCAAAGCTGATTCCTGGAAGAAGTTCGATGAGTTGTTTGAGTCCAATTTCCACACGCCAAGCAAAGCATTCCAGCAGACCACCCGCCGACTCTGAGGTAAAAAGAAGGGCAGTCTCAGAGTCTTGAAGGACAGATCTGGACATCCTCTTACTGAGGAGGATGACATTCTTTGGCGATGGAGACGGTACTTTGAGAAACTCCTTAACCCTGCGCAACCGCAGGAAGGCTCTCCTGCAGAGCAGAAGGGTAAGGATATTACTATTTCTGTAGATGAAATTGCACAAGCTGTGAAAAGCTGAAAAATGCAAAAGCTGCTGGAATTGATGAAATCCACCCTGAGATGCTCAAGGCATTAGACGAACAAGGTATGTGCTGGCTAACACGTGTCTGTGAAACTGCGATGACTGCGGGAAAGACACCAGCGGACTGGAAAACGGGAGTTATTGTACCCGTCTTCAAGAAGGGAGACCACAAGGGATGTTCCAATTATAGGGGCACAACGTTATTGAGCCTCCCAGGTAAAGTTTTCGCAAAGGTGTTAGAAAGGAGGTGCCGCGAATTAGTTGACCTCAAGATCCAAGAAGAACAGTGTGATTTGCGGTGCGGTCGAAGCACCTCTGACCATATATTTACCCTGCGCCAGCTTGTTGAGAAATCGTGGGAGTACGCCCAGCCGGTGTACAT